GCCGGACCCTGCAGGAGGCTTTGCGATGACACGGCGAGGCCCGGTCACATCGCAGGGATGGCTGTAGAGCAGCAGCAGAAGTTCCCTCGGACAGAGATGCTCCCTAAGACCTCTAGCCACGGGGGAGCCCCTCCCCATGGAGCCCCCTCTCCTCCATGGCCCGGGTCAAGGTCAGCTTGCATCCCAAAGTCACAGGCTGGCTTGCAGCTGGATCCCTGCCTCAGACCCACAGACTCCGCAGGACCGGGGTCGGGTCTCCAGAGCACCCAGCCCCTCCCCTCCCTGGCCCAGCCTCGGCAGGCAGGCTGGGGCTGGCGGGAATCCGGGGTCCTTGGTGGCTTCCCGCACCCCCTCCAAGTCGGCTTCACACCAGTCACTGCACCCACTTACTGCCCCTTTGACACGGCGTCTGCTTTATAATTTTCACGGAGAGAAGGTGATATCTCTGTAACTCTCCCTGGCAGACAGAGGGGTGAGGTGGAAGCTTCTAATTAAACGGGCACTTGTCGCCAAAACTGGTTTGGCTCGGTGGATAGAGCGTCGGCCTGCAGACTGAAGGGTCCCGGGTTCGATTCCGGTCAAGGGCATGTACCTTGGTTTCGGGCACATCCCCAGTAGGGGGTGTGCAAGAGGCAGCTGATTGATGATTCTCTCGCATCAATGTTTCTGACTCTCTATCCCTCTCTCTTCCTCTCTGTGAAAAATCAACAAAATATATATATTTTTTTAATAAATAAATAAATAAAAATAAGCAGGTACTTGTCTTCTGCCTTCTCCCTGCCCTTCCTGTGCGGGAGGAGGAACAAATTCAGGCCCAAAAGAACCCCCCCATAAACTGCTGGAGCCTGGGGGCGCGGGGACTGTGCGAGGAAATGGGCCAGAAATGAGCAGAAACCCCAACTCTCCCTTTGGGTCACCCAGGCACATATGGGCTCCAGCCCCACCCCTGCTGGCCTCAATTGGACTGATGGCCCCAATGGCACCGATGGGACCCGATGCTGCTGGGCAGAAGCTGCCCAGGGCGCTGTGCTTCCTGTGGGTGCTCAGTGGGTGGGAGGGCAGGGCGCTGGGGGAGTCCAGAGGAGAGGAGGGTGGCCCCAGGACCACCGACCACATCCTTCCTGAGAATGGCGAGTGGGAGGGCGCTCCATCAGGGGGCGTGTCTGGGGACATGGACACACCGGGCAGGAGCCATGGGACAGGTAAGGGCCGGACCCACCGGGCCTCCAGGGGATAAGGGCGCACACAGAGGGCGGGACTCAGGGCAGCGGGGGAGAGGAGGAGAGGCTGAGGATGGAGTCAGAGGGGCAGAGGGAGCCTCAGGAGCTCACGTGGGGCCCTGCTGCTCTGCTCTCCAACCCTGGCTCCCTGCGGGCCTGCTCACACGGACCCCCTGCCTGGCCTCCTTCCCCGTCACAGGCCTCTTCCTCCAGGAAGCCCTCCCTGAGCACCCCGGCCCGTCTCCCCAGCAGACAATGGGAGCAGAAAGCAGGTGGTAGCCACGGGTCCACGCTGGCATAAGGCTGCTCACACAGTTCTCTTTGGGGGGCTTGGAGGTTAAACGGGGAGACATACCACCCCTCCCCTGCCGGCACCTTCCCCAGCGGCCCTCGCTGCTCTGGGCAGCCCCCCCACATCAGATGAGAACCTGTCTGGTTTATGTTGTGCCCCCTGCACCCACCCCAAATGTTCAAGAAACACACCCCGAGACCCCCTGCAGAAGCTGCCCCGCTTCCAGCTGGTGCGAATGCAATGGGCTCCCGGGAAGGTGCTCGGGGCTCTATAGATCAAGAGCCTTGCTCCCTTCCTCTGCTCAGCTGAACAACCCTCTGCAACCCACCCCCACCCCCGCCGCGGCCCCTCCCTCAGCTCTAAGGGGGCTATCCCCGGACCTCCCGCTCCTCTCCGCCAAATCCCCCAAAGGCATGAGGACTGGGGCACTGCTGGGACCGTCCCCTGCAATGCCCCCTCACACCCACTCATGCCCCCAAAGGTTGGCTCAGCCACCGAGGGAGCAGAGCCACTTCCACAGAGAAACTACCTGCCACGCACAGTGCCTTCCCTCTGCCCAGCGGCCCCCACGACCCTACGGGCCTGGGCGTGCCAGGCTGCCAGCTGCGGTCAGCAGTGCCACTCTGCTGTCCCTGGAGGTGCCCGAGCCGAGGACACCGGAGGAGGTAGGACGAGGGGGTGCTCCCGGGCACCCCACTTCCAGGTCCCTGCCCGGGGACGGCGGCTGCAGGGCCTCCCCGTGTCTGAGTTCAGGCTGACATGAGTAGGAGGGAAGTTCCCGTTATGCACTCACCTTCCCAGACGCAGCTGCCGGGTCCCATGGCCAGGACAGTCCCTGCGCCGGCGGCAAAGCCCCTCGGCCTGATCCTGGAGATAAGTGCACGGTGACGTGGCCTCGTGGCGGCTGACACGGGCCGCCCACACCTAAACCACGGGCGCGGCGAGGCGGCCGCCCTGGAAGGGGGTGGGGGTGACTGTCATCACGAGTCACAGGCCCAGGAATTAGGAGGTGAGGCCACTGTGATTCCCTGTGGTGCTGAAGGTTCCCTGGGGACTTTGGTGCCCGGCCCACTGATGGGTGGGTGAGCGCCTGCTGTATCGTCCCAAGGGACGCCCCTGGGTGCATTACATGGGTCCCAGAAGGCGAGGACCGAGGCCAGGCACGGGGCAGCGGCGGGTCCCTTTTCTGGGACCAGAGGTGCAGACTGCTCTCCAGCAAGGCCATCTGGGAGCCATGGGGATGGAGAGGGCGGGAACGTAAGAGAGGCAGTGTCCCTTAAAGCAAACAGCACAGAAAGGCCTTTTAACTCACCCCAGAGGGAGCCCTTGTGAGAAGGCAGGCACAGTCCCGCCAGACATTGCCAAGCTCAGATGCACATTTTTTTTAAATGTTCTTTTATTGAGTTCAGAGAGGAAGAGAAACATCAGTGATGAGAAACATCCATCCGCTGCCTCCTGCACGGCCCCTACTGGGGACTGAGCCTGCAACCTAGGCATGTGCCCTTGACCAGAATCAAACCTGGGACCACCCTTCAGTCCACAGGCTGATGCTCTATCCACTGAGCCGAACCAGCTGGGGCTCAGGTGCACATTCTTAATGGGCTCAGACTGTGCTCCGAGCTTCGCAGCCTCCTTTTCCTCTGGCAGTCTTCAACACTGTCCAGGTCAGCACAAAAGCACGCCTTGTGCCTTTAACGGTAGTACATGCTATGGTTACATAATCCCGCCAATGGCTGTTTGGTTGTTGCCTATGTATGCTATTTGAATTTTCATTGAGATATAACTTACCTATAACATTCTATTAGTTTCATGTGCATAGATGCTATTCTAAATGAAGGTAGTGAACAATTCTGGGCATGGATCTTTAATCACCAGAATGAGTATTTCTGCACACACACAAAAAAAATGGCTGTGGTAGAATTGTGAGTCTAAGGTTCAGCATTTTTTAAAAATCTACAGCTACCGCTCTGGCTGGTATGACTCGGTTCGAGTATCATCCCATACACCAGGAGTCCGTGGGTTCGATTCCCAATCAGGGCACATATCCAGGGTGCGGGTTCAATCCCCTAGTCGGGATGCAACCATCTCTCTCACATCAATGTTTTTCTCTATCTCTCTCATCTCCCTTCATCCTTCTCTAAAATCAATTTTTTAAAAAATAATAAAAACAACAAATAAACCTCACCATTAACAAAAATGTACCAACTTCTACTCCCGCCAGAATGTGAGAATGCCTGTGACCCTCACCAACAGCCTAGACATTATCAGTGTTTTTTATCTTTGACAATCTGATAGGCAACGATATTTAGTGTTGTTTTTCTGCAGTTGGTTGTTGGTGAAGATAAGCATCTTTTCACATACTGACTGGCTGCGTGTTCCGTTCTGTACCAAATAAGTCACATTTCAGTGTGTGCAGATGCCTAGTCTGTGAGAGTGCCTGTGTGCGCACACGGGTGTGCATATGCGTGCTGGTTCTGTGCATCAGAACTTCTTGGGCAAGGCCTGGGTACCTCAGAGCTGCAGCTCTCTGGAGTCTGAAATACCAGGACCCATGGAGAGACGGACTCACAGGCCCAAGCCCAGGAAACACATTATGCATGGTCAGGGACATAGTCACATTTCCAATATTTAATTTCTTATTTTATTTATATTTATTGATTTTTAGAGAGACAGTTTGTTGTTCTGATTATTTATGCATTCACTGATTGATTCTTATATGTGCCCTGACTAGGAATCGAACCTGCAACCTTGGCATATCAGGACAATGCTCTATCCAACTGAGCTTTCTGGCCAGGGCACTAATATTTAAATTTCAATCAGCTTGGTCCCCATTTTACCTATTACAAGGACATACTTTTATACTCACTAGAGCCATCCCTGTGCTAGCATCTTTATCATGAGAGCTTCCTTTTGCCTGTCTGTCAGGGTCTCCCTCCACCTTGCTGAAGCTAGAATTTGCTGCCTTAAAACCAACAGACCACACCGCCTGTAACTGGTTTAATCCTAAGTATAGTAATTAATTTTGGGATCATGATTTGTGGTTTGACATCTACTTCTTAAGTCATTTAAAACACTGAGAAGGCAATATTAAACTTTTCATTTTAATTAAGTATTCAGGATAAATTTTGATAGATAAGTTTGCACTTAACAGTTAAATACTTAGGAACAATTGATGTACTAAATTAGTTTTACTTTATTAGTTATACATACAATATAAATATTTAAGAGTGTTGGTTAATGGGAAAAGAATGTCAATTGCCCAATAAATGTGAAAGATGAATGAACAGGACCTTAAACAGAGTATAATTAGTTGTGGACAATCTTGCCCACATACAAACTCCGCCTGGACATTAATGAGTTCAGCCACTGATTGGCAGGCGGGCTATCCATTTCTCCACACCAGCAAAGGCCCTCGGGACACAAGTGCTGGCTCCCGGCTGGGAACCCCCTCTGGGAAAAATAGACACCGCGCAGCTGGGCGGCCTGGCCTAGTCCCTCCAGCGGTGTCCGCACTGCGCGTTGCAGCACTTGTAGAAGGTGGTCATTGGCTCGTCGGCAGAGCGGGTCTGCAGCTGCATGAAATAGGCGCGAGGATGCTCACATTTGGGACACGGCTCTAGAAACAGGAAAAATAAACAAGAGACCGGAATTAAAAAATGTCTGTGACCAACACACCTGCTAGAGGGAGGTGTGAGGTGGAAGGCAGCAAAGACCTCGCCTATCTGGTGTCCCTGTGCCCTGATATGAGGTACAAACAAGAGTCTCGTCTCGTTCCCAATGTGCCTCCCACTGAGGGAAACCAGGAGTTTGAAAACACTCCTTCTCCCCTCCCTGGACCCCCCTCTTCCTCTCAAATCTAGCTTAAGGCTGGTTGGAAACCACACAAAAAGTGACTTATGGCTGTTGTGTGAACGACAGGGTCCACACCTGCAGATTCCGCCTCAGAAGTGCATCTCCACCAGCTGGGCAACAGACAAGCCCTCTCAGTCTCCCAGAGAATACCCTGGGTGACAACCCACTTCCTCTTGTATTGAGAGATCCATCTTGGCAGTTAGTATGTTCTTACTAAGATCTCACCGCTCAGTCCACACCTTGTCAGAGTGCACCAAAACACGTCTTTACCTTCAGTGATCTCACTTTGAGAAACCAACCCCGCTCTTGATGAAAATACCTCCGAACACTCTCAAACCACCATTCTGAACATTTGATACATAACTCATCCTTTTTTTTATTAATATATTTTTATTGATTTCAAAGAGGAAGGGAAAGGAAGAGATAAAAACATCAATGATGAGAGTGAATCATTGACTGACTGACTCCTGCACGCCCCCTACTGGGGATCAAGCCCACAACCTGGGTATGAGTCCTTGATGGAAATCGAACCCAGGACCCTTCAGTCCACAGGCCAACGCTCTATCCATTGAGCCAAACCAGCTAGGGCTATAATCTATTCTTTAATGGCAAATTCTACCATTGCTAAATTTTTAGCAGATTTGGATGATCATCTGTCTATAAGGGAAAGAGAGAGTACTAATCATGGCTCAGCTCTTCCTCCTATCAATATTGGCTGTGTCTAAGGCTCTCTGTCCTTCTTTGGTCACATCCACCTCTATCAGAAATAAACCAACACTTGGAATAAACATTTATTTTGCTGAGACTGTAGTTTAATGCTCTCGGGTATTAACTTCTAAAACTCTGCATTAGAGCAAAATGAGTGTTTTTTCCCCCTTAGACTGATTTTTATTCCTCCTGTCATTGTTGCTATCAAAGCTACCACATGTTCAGTGCCCGTTATATGCCAATCACTGCATAATTCACTTTGTGCTCTCACAATTTGTGAGTATAAATTAGCTCCAGAGGGGTCAAGGGACCCAAGGCTTAAAACAGTAAGAAGTTGCGTCTCTAACTCGGGTCTGTGTGACTCCGAGGCTTATGCCAATCTTATCTGTGTAACAAAGTAAGTGATTAAAAAACCAAATGCGCTTTCTCTCTTCGGAAGCCCACCTCAGACAAGCAGGCACGGGTTCTGACACGGAGCAGCAGTCCGCGGCCTCAGACTTAGCCACGGCTCCGTGAGGCACCACGCCTCCCTCTCACCTGCAGTGGAGTCCACGTTCTCCCAGGCCGCTGCTCCACCCAGCACGTCATCCACTTCTTTCAGCTTTGGATACTTCCGATTTGTTACCTGCAAACAACAGCAAGCCTTCAACTCTCCGGGTCCGTGGATAGCACAGATCTGGGCCATCAAACCAAACCGCCACACCCGCCCGCGGCGTCTCTCCCCCCAGACATCCCTCCTTCAACAGCCTGGCAAGATGCTAAATGTGAAGACCTCGTGGAATTGAGGCCCCGACAATGGTGCCAGGTGTCGGGAGACGCGCCAAGAGGCTGGAGTTGCTGGGGCCAAGCAGCACCTCCGCGCAAGAAACCAGAGGAGCAAGGCTTGAGAGAGAGTTCGGTGTCAGCTTTTACTCTTGCGCTGGGGACTGACTGCCTACCGCAGTGGTCGGCAAACTGCGGCTCTTTGGTCCCTTGAGTGTGGCTCTTCCACAAAATACCACGGTCTGGGCGATTCTATGTTGAAGAAGTGGCGTTAGAAGAAGTTTAAGTTTAAAAAATGTGGCTCTCAACAGGAATTTCAATCGTTGTACTGCTGATATTTGACTCTGTTGACTAATGAGTTTGCCCACCACTGGCCTGGGGTTCTGAACACGGGCGGACTCCTCTGGCTTGGGCGCTAACGGGGCGGCCTGGCCGCCGTTGTGACCACAGCGAAGGGGGCACCTGTGTGAGCACGGAGCCCGAGGGGAGGTCACGGCGATAACCTGGGGTGATGGCACAGGGGAGGGGCCAACGGCCGGATTCTAGGGGGACTCCAAGGTAGAGACGACAGGAAGCAGCTGACAGGTGGAGGCGGACCCAGGACGGGGGGGGGAGGGGGGGAGCCTCGCCGGGCTCCGGACCCACCTTGCGGGTGATGTTGTGCACGTAGGGGCAGGTGTTGCAGGCGAAACGGTGGCAGCGCTGTCCCTCCTCCACGATGAGCCCGTTCCCGCAGCCAGGGCAGAAGAGCAGCATGATCGCCGCCCAGCAGGCTCCTGCAGACACCCGCAGCCCTGCGCTTCCGCAGGCGCCGACACTAGCCCCGCCTCCAGCTCCCATTGGCTCGGGCCGCCGCCCGCCCTCAGTCCACCAATAGGCACGCCGGCCTCGCGCTCCCAGCGAGCTGTGCGGCAGGTTGCCTCGCCCTTATTGGCTCTTGCGGCAGCCCCGCCCCCACGCCCCCGCTGGCGGAAGTGCGTGCTGCGCTCCCGGGGGTGCGCGCCTACCTTCGCTCCGGCGGACCGGGCGCTTGGAGCCGCCCTGGAGGAGACGGAGGCGGAGGCGGAGGCGGCGGCGCGGCCCGAGGCGCGTGAGGACGATGAGGACGAAGAGGAGGCGCTGCCGCACTCCGAGGCGGTGGACGTGTTCCAGGAGGGTCTCGCCATGGTGGTGCAGGACCCACTGCTCTGCGACCTGCCGATCCAGGTGCGCAGGGGCGTGGGCAGGGCCCGGTGCTGATGGGGCTGCGACCCCGAGGCCTCGCCAGGCGCCTCTGGGTGTAAACCGAGATCTTGACCTGGGCCGAGCCCAGAGTGGGGCGAGCCAGGCTCTCGCCTTGGGCGCGGAATTTAAAAGGCTCCAAAACACCTCCAGCAGCCAGGATGCTTGACTTTTTTTTTTTTTTTTTTTTTTCGGAAATACGTGACATTTTAATACAGTATGTTTATAACTCAGGTTGGTGTAAAAAAAAGCCTATGGCAAACAAAATAATAAAGACTATGTCAGTATTACTGGGTTTTCCCATCTCAAACTTCAATGTTATTTTGTCCATCGTGCAGTTTAATTAACTTCTGTTTTCTTGAAAATTTGTATTACTGCCCTGACCGGTTTGGCTCACTGGATAGAACATTGGCCTGCAGACTAAAGGGTCCCTGGTTCGATTCCTGTCAAGGGCGTGTACCTTGATTTTGGGCACATCCCCAATAGGGAGTGTGCAGGAGGCAACTGATCGATGTTTCTCTCTCATTGATGTTTCTAGCTCTCTATTCCTCTCCCTTCCTCTCTATAAAAAAGCGATAAAATATATATTTTTTTAATTGTATTGCAACGTTTGGTATTGCACTCCTGCCAAAACCTTGTCCCGAGGTCCTGGTTTGGGACCTGATTGGTGATTGGGGCTCAGTATGAAGGGACAAGCACAGTGTTCCTCCTACCCAACCCTGGAGTGAGAGGATCCAGGGCTGTTGGTTCTTGCCTGTTTCTTTCTCTTTTTTTTTAATATATATTTTATTCATTTTTTACAGAGAGGAGGAGAGAGGGATAGAGAGCTAGAAAGGTCGATGAGAGAGAAACATTGACCAGCTGCCTCCCACACACCCCCTACCGGGTGCGCCCGCAACCAATGTACATGCCCTTGACCAGAATTGAACTCGGGACCCTTCAGTCCGCAGACCGACGCTCTACCACTGAGCCAAACCGGCTTCGGCTCTTGCCTGTTTCTATATTCCTTTCTTCTAAGCTTCTGTCCGCTTTGGACTTTAAATAGAAAATGTGGATGACACATGAGATCAAGGCGCTAAAATCCTGGGAAGCCCTAATGTGTAAGCAAGAATCCCTCCCCGTTCTTGTCCTTCCTAAAACATGGCACCCCATTTTGGACACTCTCAGCTTATTCCTTGGTGTTGTTTGGGGTGTTAAAGGGCCAGGCACTCACCTCCCCCCTTGGTCTTTCCTAGGTTACTTTGGAAGAGGTCAATTCCCAAATCGCCCTGGAATATGGCCAAGCAATGACCGTCCGAGTGTGCAAGATGGATGGAGAAGTCATGCGTAAGTGCTGCCCTCCTCCCCTCAGGCCAGGCGGGCTGAGCTGCCACAAGGGGCTGGTCAGTGGGATGCCGAGCGGCCACCCACAAGCCCATCTGCCTGGGCTTGAGCCTCGACAGGGCTTCTGGGTTCCTCCCACCCACCCGAGGCTGTGGCTGTGGCTGTGGGGCCTTCTCTCACGGTGCCCCTTATCGCAGCGGTGGTGGTGGTGCAGAACGCCACTGTCCTGGACCTGAAGAAGGCCATCCAGAGATACGTGCAGCTCAAGCAGGAGCGCGAAGGGGGCATCCAGCACATCAGCTGGTAGGTGAAGCGGCTCCTTGCGGCCCTCCGGGAGGACGGTGTGGGACTCACAGGAGCTCCGCCAGACCTGTACTTCTTGACCACCTGGTCTGGGCTGCAGCGTCCTGACTGGAGCGAAGAGCCAGCTCCCTGTCACAGCCCCTCAGACAGGGCTGGCGCGCTCTGCTGAGGAGCTAGGGGCTTCCCTTATCCCACAGCTTCTGCTAGTACCTCCCAGCCACGCCGCTCGCCCTGCTCACGGCGCCCCTGAATCCCTCCCGTGCAGGTCCTATGTGTGGAGGACGTACCATCTCACCTCTGCGGGAGAGAAGCTCACGGAGGACAGGAAAAAGCTCCGAGAGTGAGTTCAGAGGGAAGAAGGGTGTGGAGGTGGAAGGCTGCCTGCCGGCCGGCGTGGGCCTATGAAAGGATGGCACCGCCCCGCCTTGCGTCCTGCACACCACACTCGTCCCACCTGTTCTGTCTTGGTTCCTCACAAGCCTCAGGTGAGGAGTCGCAGACAGAGCCTTCTGCAAGTGAGATACTTGATTCTTCTCCTTCTCTTTCAGCTATGGGATCCGGAATCGGGACGAGGTGTCCTTCATCAAAAAACTGAGGCAGAAATGACCCTCCAAACAAGGACTCTGCCAGTGGCCACGCTCCTCCCGGCAGGAGGAAGCCTCGGGCGCTGTCCCCTCCTCACAGGAGAGTGCTGACATGGACTCCCCCAGCTGTGCACAGCTGGGCCTCGGGAGTGGGACTGGGTGAGCCAGTGCTCAAGACCCAAGTTTGACCCCTTCTGGGCCCAACACCCCAATTTCATGGCAGATCCCACCGGCGGTGGGCCTGGCCCTCTGTACAGAATAAATCTCTCTTGCTTTCTAGTTTGAAAAGTCAAAAGGCCACAGTCCCGGGACATGAGGGCCTGGCGCAGCCCCATCATGGGAGGCGCGGGGCAGAGAATGGCCCACGTCTGTGATGCCACTCGGCCCTGTTACCATTACTCTTTAGCAAGGAAACAGCGGGGCAGCTGGCTTCTGCTCCTGCTTGTGGAGAAATAGCCTGGTGCGAGCACAGCCATGGACAGGCCTCCGGCCTCCCCACGGGTTCATCTTCCTCAGGGCCAGGGGGCAGGGAAAATCCAGCTCCCAAATTTGGAAGCCTTCCCCCAACTCCTTCTCCTCCTCCTCCTCCTCCTTCTCCTCCTCCCCCTCCACCCCTCCCCCTCCTCTTCCTCTCCCACTTCCACCTCTTCCACTATCCCGACACTGGCAAGGAGCCCTTGGCGGAGCTACCTGCCTTTGCACAGGAAGTACCGCTACTGACATCACAGGGGCCTCCAGCCCGCCACCCTGCTGCCTCCTGCTGGCCGCACCACACTTGCGCCGCAGGGTAAACTGCCGCCTGCTTTCCACACCTGCTCACTGCACCCTGGCCCAAGACACCTGATCTACCCGGGATCACACCCCCTCCCTGGCTCCCGGCTCCTGGAAGGGGAGGTGGCCTGGGGCCGACATTGGCTTAGGGGCCCCGGTAAGTGTGTTCGGGGAAATGGGACCGCTCATCCCTGGGTCTTAAGGAAAGGGAGCAGCGTGGGGCCACCTGGCTTGCGGACCTCCCTGCGGGAGGCGTCTGAGACACTGCCTGTCGGGAAGGAGGAGGCAGCTCTGGTCACGTTAGTGGCAGCTAAAACGCTCCCAGTCCATTTATTGGCCACATCATAAGGTGGTCGTCAGGAGACTAGTTAGAAGGTAATCACGGGAACTAGTGTAATAAATGCCCGGAAGTACGAGAGGTTCCACAGCAGTGAACGAGGCACCAGCGGTCTGTGTCCAGGACACGGCGGGACGCCCTCGGGGCCTGCGGGCGGTCTGCCTGGCTCCAGCCTGCTGGAGGCCCGGCCCGGCGCCCGCTCAGTGGAGCTGGGCGTCCAGCTCGTACTTCTCGCAGAACTTGTCGGTGAAGGGGATGCAGGTGAGGAACTCGCACCACTCGCAGCGCACCGGGTAGAAGTAGAAGAGGACCACCAGGCCGGCCAGCAGGCCCAGGAACACCACCTGGAAGACGATGATCTGGCAGCGCTTCCGGTACAGGTCGAACCTGCCGAAGCTGATGTAGGGCAGGAAGGCGAAGGAGAGGAAGAGGCCGCTGATGAAGCCCGAGATGTGGGCGAAGTTGTCGATCCAGGGCAGCAGCCCGAAGGTGAAGAGGAAGAGCACCACCGCCAGCAGCTTGAAGAAGGCGCGCCAGGGCCGCGCCAGGATCTGCCAGCTCTGGAAGAGCTCCACGAAGAGGCAGGCCAGGATGCCAAACTGCGAGCCGGCCGGGCCCACCTGGGGGGAGGGGGTGCTGAGCAGGACCCTGGACCCACCGCCGCCCCGCCTCACGGCCCAGGCTGGGTCCCGGGGCGGCCTTACCTCTGCCCGGTACGGCAGGAAAATGGCACTGGCCAGGTTACCAGTGACGCCACTCAGCAGGTAGATGATGGCGATGCGGTGCCAGCCTGCCAGCTTCTCCAGGTCCCGCAGGACAGTCATCTGGAAGCAGACGGACACCAGGCAGTGCAGGATGCTGTGGGGGGAGAGGGAAGGGGTCACTCAGCCGGGAAGGCCTCCCTCCCACCACCCCCTGGCCAGCCACTCCTGGGTCCCCGAGACCACCCAGCCCTCGGCCCGCCTGGTGTCACTTGCCCAGCGTGCAAGAAGAGGGACAGCCACAGGCGGTAGAACTGGTCGGGCACCTCGGGGTTGAGGAAGGGCAGGAGCCCGCACACGTCATCCATGCAGTGCACCTGCGCAGAGTGGCCGGTCAGCACGCTCTGAGGCCGGGGGCGAGGGGACGCACACACCCTGGAGGCCTACCTGAGAGCAGAGCGTGGCCTCCTCGTGGAAGTAGCCCCTCATGAAGTCACAGTACTCCCGGGAGGTGATCTCACACCTGCAAGGTGGAGCCTGGCGTGGGGGCGTGCAGAGGGGCCGGGGCACAGGCACCTGGCTCCACCACCCAGGCCTGGGCCTCAGCCCCCTCGCCCATCTTGGTTGGCCCTGGATAAGCCCAGAGCCTTTCTCACCCCACACCCCTTCGTATCCCGCCTTAGTCCAGGACTTGGAGGCGGGCAGAGCTGCGGGCCCAGGCACACCCACCTGCCCTTGGTGCCGATGCAGCAGGGCCGGCCCGTGATGGCGCAGTCCATGTGGGGGTGGTTGGTGTGGTTCCCGGCGCTGCTTTTGGTGCAGATCTGGATCACAAAGGGGATGAGTTGGGTTGGAGCCTCCTCCAACCCTGTGCCCCCCACACCGTGCTCGGGGGACGGGGCAGAGATGGACAGGCTCCTACAGTAGAAAGCAGGCCCTGACTAAGCCTCAGCTTTCCCATCTGTCAAACGGAAATGATGTCATTGGACCTCTCAAACCTCCACCTGGTTCTGCTCTGACTACCTGCTCAGAAGCAGGGGGTGGAGGGGCCGGCCAGGCAAAGGCCAGAGGCACTGCACCTGGGAACAGGTAGTCCCATGATGGGCCTCTTGGTATCACAAACGAGTGAAGTGTGTGTTCCCCCCGTAATAAGGGTGACCCCCCCCCTAAAGCCAAGCATCTACCCCAGCTCACCGGCCACTTGGTGATGTCATCTGGCCACTCATGGGGGTCCTCGGAGGAGGGCTCATCACACACCCTGCAGGAGCCCAGTGTGCGGTCAGCCCCTGCTTTGTGCCCTTCCGCCCAGCCCCACGAGGGGAGCGGCTACACCTTTCCCCCCACCTCCCAGGGAGGCAAGAGCGGGGCCAGCAGGACTGACCTGGGGTCCTGGTGACAGACGGAACCAAACTGCCTCTTGCGGCCGGCCAGGTCGGGGGCGCTGGGATGGGAGGGCCACTTCACCCACACCGCCAGCGTGGACTGCAGGGAGTATCAGTGCCGTCAGAGCCCACCCTTCCCACAACAGCCTCCAGAAGGCAGGAGTCAACAGCAAAACCACAGAGAGCCCCCCTGAGCCCACAACCCGAAACCTACCCATGCACACTTTGGGAATGTGTGTGCACGTGTGAATGTTTACTGCAAGCTCAAGAGCATCATTCCTATTAGCATAAAATTAAAAACCACCAGCGTCCAAAACCAGGGACTGGCATAAACTTTGGTACCTCCTCCTGAAATCATGTAATGAAAACTTGGGATTTTTTTTTTTTTTGTAATTGTTTAGTGGGGGGAAAAATAAGGCAATACCACTTATGTAAACTCAAGATATGCCCCAAAACAAGGCACACGGAAAGCACACCAAGTCAGAGAGGTTGCAATGGCTGTCTAGCAGTGTTTCCCAAAGTGTGGTACGCGTACCCATAGGGGTACAGGAAGAGTTTGGTGGGGATGTGCACTGCACCGTGCTTAGCTGCGCCTAATTCTACGTTCTCATGAGTACGAAGGGTACTCAGCGTTATGAAAATTATAGAAGGGGTACACGTATGTCAGAAGTTTGGGAAACACTCTACGGGATGCGGGGGGGGGGGGGGGGGGGGCTGGAGGATGAGGGGTAATGAATGACGAGAGGGACCTTGCACAGAGGCTGGTGTCATGTGCCAAGACTGGGATAAAGGATAACGGGCCCCATCTGAAGTCCCAGCACAGCCACATCACGGGGCGCAGACGGGGGCTGCCTGCGGGCGGGGCACCCACCGAGCACTCCTCCTCCGACGTCTGCACGCAGCCGGACCGGTCGTTGCGCACGCAGCAGGCCGAGTGCTTCTCGCGCTCCCGGGCGGCGCGGATGAAGCTGTCCACCTGCGGGTCCTGGCGCATGCAGGGCGAGAACTTGGCGCCCAGGTGGATGAGCGCCTCCTGCGGGCAGCGAGCGGGGTGAGCCGCTGAGGCCGGGCCCCTGCCGGCGCGGGGTCCTCCTCGCCCCACCGCCCTGCCGCCCCCCCTCACCGAGCTGGGCCCGATCCAGAAGTTCTCCTGCTGCACATACTTGACGTTCTCATAGACCCCGCGGTTCCGCAGCACCTGGGGGGGTGGGGAGAGAGGTCAGAGGCGACCTAAGCGGGGAGGAGGGCGACCGGAGCCCAGATTCCGCCGGCCTCGGCGCGGGGAGGGCGCGGGGCTCACCGAGTCCACGGTCTCGTGCTGCGAGAAGCCCACGGGCGCGATGCCGTAGATGCACACGGCGAGGATGGTGACGAGCGAGTGCACGAAGGTGAGCCAGTAGGTGAAGAAGGGCCTGCGGCGGGGGCGGCAGCAGAGGTGGGGGCTCCGACCTGGGCCCCCCCACCCCCGGCCCGGAGCCCCGCCCGCCGTGAGGCACCCCCGCCGCGCCCACCTGTGGTCATCCATGTCCTCGATCTGGCGCTTGACGTAGCTGTCGATGCGCTTGCGGTAGGTGCGGTTGGTGAGGCGGCCCACCATGCCCAGCCCGTACGGCCGCTTCTCCCGGGCGAAGAACCTGCGCACCGGCATGGCGATGCGCTGGCCGCGCCGCTGCCCCGCGGCGCTCACCACCTCCTGCCGCAGCCGCACCTTGGGCTGCGGGGCCGCCGCGCCCTCCTTCTGCTTCCGCCAGCCGCGCTCCAGGGGCCTGGGGTGGGGAGGGGGGCAGCACAGTCACCTCCCGCCCCAGCCGGTCCGCTCCCAGGCGGAGGTGAGACGCTGGGCACCCGCCCCATCCCCGTGAAGAGCAATCTCGAGCCCCTCCAGATGGCGGGAGGGGGCCAGACCTGTGAGCGGCCCCCCGCCTCCCGCTGCATCCGACCAGCCGAGGGCTCTGGGGCTGCGCTCCGGGTCCGCAGGGGGCCTGGGTCCCCGCACAGGAGCCATGTAGACCCCTGCCCTCAGCCCCCCAGGCGGTCCTGCCCCGGGGCCCCCGCTGCTCCTGCCCTCGGACCCCCCTCCCTGCGCCCTCCCGCCGCCACTCACAGCATCAGGTGGCTGCGCTCCAGCTCCGAGCGGTCCAGGGCGCCGCCCGTGAGGTCCGCCTGGTCCGGCGCCTTCTCCCAGTCCTTGAGCGCCGCCTCCGAGGGGGACTCGAACACCTCGTCTGGGTACGTGGACAGCTCCTCGTGGAGGACACCTTCCTGAGCAAACACGCGTGGTCAGCGCGAAGGCACGGACGGAGGACGGAGGTTGGGGGACATGGAGGCCCCGCGGACGGCCGCTCTTACCCGGGCGAAGAAGGACGTGTCCAGCTCCTCGGGGAAGTCCGCCGTGTCCTCCTCCAGGAAGCTGGCGGGGGTGAAGCTGCGGCGCTGCGCCCGGCGCAGGGTGCCGTCCCGCCCGGAGCGGCCCTGCCGGCGAGGGGGTGAGCGTGCGGCCCGCCGCGGGGTCCCCCCTCCGCCCCCCTGCCGGGCCCTGCGCCCACCTTCACCAGCGCCGCGGCCGCGCGGAAGCTCATCTTGGCCACAGACTCACGCTTGCGCCTCCGCGGGAGCCGGTTGAAGCCTGAGCGGGAGCTGGAGAAGGAGCAGAGGGAGGCGGCGCCGGGGGTGACGGGCGTGTGCGGGGTGCTCAGGCCGTCCGCGGTGTCATCCGCCATGCGGAAGGCCCGGCCCCGGGCCAGGGGGTCTATGATCTGGTGGAGGGGAGGAGACGCAGGAGTCGGGGGGCTAGGTCGTCACCCCGGAAGCTCCTTCCCCGCCCTGTGGAGAACACAGCGGGTACCTGCACAGCTATGGGTGCCACCCGCACCGTACCGCACCCACAGGCGGCCCTCTCCCGGCCTGCTGTTCACCCCGGGGTGCTCTCCCATCCAGAGCTGGCCCGGTGGTACATCCCAGCCGCCTTCCCAGAGAGTATCTGAGGTGTCTTTACGGGACCACCTGACCCTCCTCCCAGACCATGAGCTCCCAGGCACCTCCTCCGCTCGGGCTGGCTGTGTCCGCGGCCCCAGCCCAGGGAAGCAGAGAGGGAGGCCTCCGGGGGCCGCAGGGGGCGGGCATACCTTCTGCATGCCCAGCTGGCATGGCCCCACATACAGCGGCGGGGGCGTCTCCGTGCTGGTGAGCGACACGTTGTCCTGGCTGGGCAGGTCCAGCTCCCGGATGACCTGGGGCTTCAGCTTCCCGTAGCGCTGGCTGCAGTGGCGGAGGCTCTTGCGCTGCCACTTCTGGGTGCTGTCGCTGTCCTTGCTCACTCCGAACCAGTCCGCGGTGCCCCTGCCGTGGGAGGGACTCAGCCAGGGGGCGCCCCGGCCCTCACCCCTCCCAGCGGACGCCCCAGAGCCCTCCTCCTGGGCAGCATGCTCTACCCCACGCCTCCGGTCACTCCAGGATCTGGGGTCCAGTGGGCTGGGTCCAGTGAAGAGGACGCGTGGGTTCCAGCCCTGGCCACCCCCTAAACGCTGAGCCAACTCCCAATGCCCAGGAGAACCACAGGCAACAGGCCTGTCCGGGTGAGTCTTTTACCCGGGCTCACGCCCCATCCCTGAGAGGGGATGTGTGGGGAGACACTGAATCCAGAGATGATGCTCAGAGCTCAAGCTCTCCGCTCATCCGGAGAGAGCTCAGCCCTGGGCAGCAGTTTGACCTTTAACATCACAGAACTCAACACACGGGTGATGCAGGCCCGGGCAGGTTGCCCACAGCCCTTGGACATGCAAGCAACACACTGCCAACACCCGCTGTGAGGAGCCCCGGGGGATGCACACCGTGCTGGCAGCTGCCAAGAGGTCCCAAGCCATGCACGGGCCAGGCCAGCCGATGCTCACACACTCACACCCGCAAGTACCTGAGCAGGGACCGCGAGAGAGACCAGCGCTGCGGAAGGGCCCTGCGGGCGGCAGGGGAGCCCAAGAGGGGCAGCGTGTGGACACGCCCAAAGCGCACCTGTCGGCTGTTCGGGGAGCAGAGCATGGAGGCGGGGGAGACAGAGAAGGAGAGAGCGAGTGCTGGGGGAGCAGAGAAGGGTGGCAGGTGAGAGGGGTCGGTCCCCCAGAGCAGGAGGGGGGAGGGTGACATGGGGAATAAGACCGAGGAGAAAGCTGGGACAGGAGAGGCCCTGCCCTGCTCCCAGCCTCGGCGGCACCCAAAGGGGAGCCTGTATGCCTGCCTCTGGCCCTCCAGCCCCAGCCCTCACCCCGGAGCAGCCAGGGCAAGGCCAATACCTGCGGATGGTCTGTGTGATGGATGTCTGCCGGTGCAGCACCGGCCGCCGGGGCTCGTGGTAAGGCGAAGGGACGTGAGCGGTCTCGGCCGGCATGCTCACGCTCCGCAAGAAAGCCTGGCGTCTCAGGGGCTGGGTGGCGGGGTCGTGGTGAGCGGGCTGGGCCGGATGGACCCACAGCCCATGCTGGCCAGGGCCTGCCGGCAGGGAGCTGGGATCCTCGGCCGCCACAGCCGCCGCCGCCGCCGGCACCACGGCTGGGATGTCCAGCTTCAGCCAGGGGGGCTTCTTGCGCTGCAGGCTGCTCGTGCTGTCCCTGCGGGCCTCGCTCATGGTTCCGGGAGCAGCAAGGTGGGCCTGCGGGTGGCAGAGAAGGGTGGGAGGTGAGAGGTGTCTGAAGGTGCCTTGGGCCCAGACCCAGGAGAAAGGAGAAGCAGTGGTAACCCCAACAGGCTGGTCAAGATCCGGCTGCTGATGTCCTGTGTGCTCAGCACTGCCACACGCAGTCAGTCCCTGCTTTGTTCAAACTGACAGACATTGCTGTCCACATGCCAGGTCCTCAGACAACGTAAATTCGTGTGACCAATACTGGGGCACCTACTATGAGTCACTCCTAAGTGCTTGGGACACATTAGTGGAGAGAAAGAAGAAACTAAAAACAGATAAAATCCCCACCTTCCTGGAGCTTACAGTCCAGGTAAGCAATCTATGTATATAAAAGCCCAAGTGATCAGCCTACTGGTAGCTATGACACACACTGACCACCAGGGGGCAAGCGCTCAATGCAGTAGCTGCCGAGCTACAGTGACTTGGCAGCTGGGGTTCTCCAGTGATGCAGAGGGAACCAGAGAGGAAGGAGCCCGATTCTGGGGTACGTCACCCAAGAACCACCTTCTAGCAATCCAGGACCCCTCGGGGGATGTCGGAGAGCCGGTTTCAGCCCAATCCCTGCAGGCCAGGCCAAGAGATCCCACCGGTGCACGAATGTGTGCACTGGGCCTCTCGTGAATTTATAAGTAGGTATTTTGTTTACGGACGCAAAGTGTGACAGGGACAAAATCAGCACATTACAGTTGCCGAGCGCAGTGATGCCTCCTCCTTGTGAGGTGACATCTGAGCAAAGGCTTGAAGGAGGTGATCAAGTTAGCAAGGTTTGGGGAGGGTGGGAGGAGGGGACAGGAGGAGGGTTTGTTCCAGGCACAGGGAACAGCCAGAGCAGAGATCTGAGTGAGCGTGAGGACACTGCCAGGTTGAGCTCACCCATCCGCACACGGCAAATCTGAGACCTCACCCTCTAACGGCCCTGCCATCTGCTCCAGAGACAGAGGCTCTGCCTGCTATGCCCACAGGTGGGGTCTGCGAAGGCTCCGGGCTCCAGGTCACAAAGGAGTGGCCTCGTGGCTTCCCAGGGTCTGAAAGCTGTTGCCACAAACGGGAACCGCCTGAAAACCACCTGGGCGCAGGCGCTGCCATGACCACCAGGGGGTGCCATGCGCCCATAAATACCAACAAAAAAGGCTCAGCCCTGGGAGGGCTGCTGGTCCAGCATCAAACCTAAGTAGGAGACTCACCCCCAAACCTGGCGTAGGCGCAGGGTAAGGCCCAGGCCCCAGAGCAGAGGCCCGGGCCGGATAGGAGCCGCCTCTGCCTGCCTCGGAACCATGAGGCCAAGGTCACGGGAGCATGGCCTCCTCGGCACCCTGTGTCCCCCTTTACAAAACGTCACTTTCAGGACAGATCCGAGCCCTCCTCCCCAAAGGACCACACAGGACCTGAAAACAGGGCATCTAAGAGTGAGAGGGTTCCCTGAGCACAATGGGGGACATGGACACCAGGGGAGTGGCTGAGCAGAGACCCCCAACATTCCTCAGCCTCCTCAGAGAGCTTCAGACCCTGACAGGTCTGTAACCCACCCACCAACACCCCTACAAACAGCTTCCCCCTCCAAGCCTCCTTCCCAGCTGCTTGGAGTAAATAGAGAGGAAGTCCCGCCCGTACCTTAGAAGTAAGGAAACGGAGGCTTGAAGAGGCTTGATGTGCCCGAAGGCACATATTCACCATCACTGGGGACAGGCCTGGGATGCCGCTCACACCCCGTAGGAGACTGGACTTACACAGAGAGGGGCCAGGTCTGCGCTCAGAGCAGCTCTGGCTTTCTCTAGCGAGTCCCAGGGACGCGCTAGCTCAGGGAGGCAGGACGTGACAGGGACACAGACAGGGACAGGCCCAGGACGGTTCCCACAGCGTCCACTGGTACTACCCAGACCAAAAACAGCCTGGACACTGCCCACAGCTCCTCCTGGCCCTAAATCGACTGGGGCCAGGCCAGGATGTGGCTGGCAGCTCCTACTGGCTTTATACCAAGCAGGGCTGGGCCAAAAATACTACTCAGTTCCTACTGCCTCTGCCCTGACCAGGGCCAGGGCCAGCACACAGCTCACAGATCCCATTGCCCCTGTGTGACACTATTCACCACTCCTACCCAGTCAGGGACAGTCCCGGGCACCGCTCACAGCTCCCACTTACGCTGCACCAACCAGAGCCGGCTGGTGGGACAGAGTCCTTCAGGGATCCTCCTCTAGCTGACTCTGCACCCAGGGGTCTTTCCATTCATGCAGCCCCTGAGCCAAGCCCCTGTGCTCGGTCCTCACCAGTCTGGTTCAGAGCAAGGGCTGAAGCACTTGTTTGCACATCACTGGATGCCTTCTGGGCACCCTGCCTATGCTGATCCCCACAATGTGGGTCGGATGGATGGGTCCCTGCAGGGGGTCGGAGGCAGGCAGTGGGGGATGTGTGTGTGTGGGAGGGGGTGAGACAGTGTCCAACATGAAGGCATTCTGAGAATGGGTCTCTCGGAATTGAACCAGGAGATGGGCACTCCTCACACCACAAACCCAGCCCAGACCTGTGTGTTCCCTGACACCGTCAGCACCCGCCAGCCCTCCCTTCACAGATCCCCCTGTTGGTGAGGCAGTGACTGGGAAGGGCAGCGCTGGCTCTCAAGCACTGGTAGCGGGATTTCAGGCAGTGTCAGACAGACGCGACCAGATAGGGGCTCCCGGAACCTGCAGTGCCCTGACAGCACCCCCAGGGTGCCCTCGGAGCCCAGTCTGGCCATGCCTGCCACACAGGGATCCAGGTGATGGGACCCCAGAGGTTATGCGAGTCCCTGGGGGGCCTTGTGGGGAGGGACCAAACCGGATGGGAGCCCCCTGAGCGTTTCAGATGGGGCAGCTGCGCAGGCTTCAGTGTGTCCCTGCCACCCAGCCCCCATGTGTCTCAGGTAGCCTCAGTGTGCTCTCCTGGAAAATGGGTTGATACCTCGGTGGAGCCATTGTGAGGCCCAGAGAGGAATGGTGCTGGGAACCCACAGGCTGGGTGCTGGGAGCGGGCCCTCCGTGCCTCCCCAGCAGGCCTGGCACTCCTGGGTGATCGGCTGGCTCTCCGCTCTGCAGTACAAGGCGTCTTTGCCAGCTTGTTGACTGTCTCACCCACCACACACATCCATGACTCTCCATGGCTCCCCCTGCCCCCACGGCCTCTCCTGACACCTGGCTCCCTGCCATCCCAGGGCCCTGCCTTGCACACACACACTGCCAACCCTCCAACACGTCCCAGGGCCGCAGCCGGTCAGGCTGCCACACCGGCCGCCGGGAGTCCATCGCCGTGTGCTGTCCTCTCTGCCGGGAGCACTGGACACTCTGGGGCACAAGCTAGCAGGACCGATCCCCATGGTCTGGGTGATGGGGGAGGAGGAGGGGACCGCATGCCCGAATGCCCAGGTCGGGGCAGAACAGCACACAGAGGTGGAAGAGGGTGGGGAGCAGCACAGGGCGCAGCACAGGCCCACAGTCCGTCCAGGAACACAGAGCCCCTCATGATGGCGGCACGGCTCCCTGCCGGCTCACCCCGACCTCCCGGTGTCCCTGGCCCCCAACTCCCTCCTGTACCCACGCAGCTGCAGAACACCCAGCCTACCCTACCCCTGGGTGCCCAGTTCCCATCTGGGCCTCCAGTGGGTAGGGTTCCCAGGGGGCTCCCCACTAGGACCCAAGGGTGCGGGGGAGGGCAGGCCCAGGCGGACAAAGAGTCCAGAGGGGAGGGCACGGTGCCCGCCCAGAGGAGACAGTGGCTCAGTGTCCAGCCTCCCCGGGGCACACAGTGGGCTCTTGTTCCCAGCAGCCCCTCGTGGTGGAAATCCCGACAGCATCTCCGCTCTGCCGACCCCTCCGCACGGGAGAAACCACAGCCCAGGGCAGCCTGCCGGCCGGGGTCACACAGCATCTGAGTCACTGGCAACACCCCCCGCTGCCCACCCGGCCCGGCCCGGCCCAGCAGGAGACGCCCAAAGGGCAGCTGGGAGTAAAGCAAGGATTGCTGGCAAAGCAAATGCCAATGGCGGGGACCCAACCCAGCAGGGGGGGCACAAAACCGCACTGCACCTCGGGCGCTGCACCCTAGACACTTCGAACAGCCAGGAGAAGTGAGGCTGAGGGAGGAGGGCCCCAGTCACAGGACCCCTGGGGCTGCTTTAGCGGCAGCGAGAGGGGCGGGAGCTGCTGCAGTCATGGGGGCCGAGGGCGAGTGGGGCGCAGGGGGAGGTCCCCCTGACCCCGGTTCCGGCTGGGGGGCTGACTAGGGGCCCTTCAGGCTGGCACTGTGCAAGGTGCAGGGGTACCTGCTCAAAAAGCAGAAAGGCTGGCGATGCCAGCTGGCTCCGGCTCCAGGGGGCATCCTGACAAGGCAGCCAAAGGACGGGGAGCCCAGGGTGAGAGGGCCGGAGCCTGCGCCAAGAGCAGGAGCTGCTGCGGGAACTGGGGACGGAACCCTCAGGATGCTCCCGAGGCAGGAGGAGACCAGGAGAGGCTCCGGCCCGCCCAGGCCTGGCCGGCGGCCCCGGGTGATGTGAAGCTGGATCCTCAGGTGTGAGCAGCAGCCACCGCCCTCCGGCCTTCCCCGTGCTCGCAGGACGATGCTGGCAGAGGTCGCTGAAGGCCAAGTGGATGATGGCCCAGCCCCAGGGCCAGACCTGCCCAGCCTGGGCTCCCGGTCCTGCCCAGCCCGGCCCCGGGAGCCGCCCACCACTGAGGTCAACTGGAGCAGGGCCCCACCCGGGACACTTGCCCCAACGTGTCCCCAGCTCACCTGAGCCCAGTCCCAGGAGAAGCCAGCTCCTCCAGCCTCCCCACCGGAGCCCTGATGGCTGACCCTGTCTCGGGTTTGACTCCCACCCAGATCTCCCAGGGGAGCGGGGACCAGCAGCTGCTGGTAGCCTGGAGTCCCGTCCTTCTCCATCACGTGCTCCTGGGCGGCAAAGTGAGGGCCACCTGTCT